CCCCCTCCGAGCGGAATCGCGCACTTTGCCGGCAGAATGTCGGTCGGCGAATTGTCGCGACTCCTCGATCGGCCCGGACCGAATTCACTCGGAACTAACTCCGCTCGACGTTCGTCCCGCAGAGTTTCATTTTCAAAACGGCGGAGGAAACGCAAGGGTCTCTCCCCGTCCGTCGAGACGGCAGACGGATTATAAACGGAGCGTCGGGTAAATAGTTGTGCGTGCTTCATTAAATAACTTCCAAGAAATTCCCTCGTTGTTTTCGGCGACACCCGAGGTCCAAGTATACATCCAGTTCAGGCGACTTTGTTTCGGGGCTCTTGACACCTCGGGAAATTTAGTATCTCGCATCCGGCCCGTCCGAAAACTCGGCGCCCTAATGGCGAAACGAGGAGCGTCTTTCGCGCAAGAAATAGGTTCCCTCCTTCCTGTCGAAGGAGTAAACATGGACTGGTCGGCTGCCCTCTTCCCTCCTAAAATCCCGCCCACCTCGGAACGGAGTCTCCACTTTAAAAGGAACTTTAAGTTTCTTTCAGATTGACCTACCGCAATTTGTCTTCATTAATCAAGATTCTGCTTTTCCGCGAGGCTCCTCCGGGCGAGGGCGTGTTACTCGTTAAAATGAATATCCCGTGAAAACGTACCTGAACGCCTTCCAGCGAGGCGTAATTGGACTCTAGTTTTAACGCCATCCGTATGTTTATTTCCGTGACCGATTCCATTTCCGGAATCGCGAGGTCGAAGGAATCGTCGCGTCTCGTCGGATGCACTTTCTGGCGGCGCCTGAACGATTTCTCCCCTTCTATGTCCTACCTTGTATAGAGCTTCTCGCTTTAAAATGATATCTCTTGTAATCGGGACGTGCTCTGCCGAGCCGAACGACGTCCCCGTGAAAAAGGCCGGCATTTAATGCCGATGCGTTCCCCGGCCGATCGGGGATTTTCCCACGTTTCCCCTCCCTTTCCCAGCCGAGCCTCCAGTGCCGATATCGCGTTATTTTTACCGTTTACACAATTCAGCCGGGAGCAAAACGTATCTCCTCTTCTTGGCACAATAGGGCACGTATTGGCTCGCGCGAGGAAGGAAGCAGTAGCACGATTACAACGCCAATTATCGGTTCGCGTAGCCCGGTGCAATATACCGGCGTATTAAGTGAAAAGCCCATAGCCATATTCCTGTACCCGTCGAGGTTCGAGTATTTCCCCGGGCCGACAAGGGGACGTATCAGTAAATTATTCAAATAAACCCTCCCCGTCGTATCTCTTTAAAGAGTCTCCATAGGGCGAACATTTTCCCCGCTTCGTTCTGGACCTTCGACGTTATCGGGGGTCCCTTTCCACGGGGCGCGAAAATTACAATGCAAAGGCAATTACCGATCGCGCGCCGCCGCAAAGCAGCGCATCTTCTCGGGGATTTATCTCGCCGATGCGCTTACGTTAAATTCTACCGGCCGCGCGAGTAACGTACGGCTAACCGGATCTCACACTTGGATGCAAAAAGTGGGCCAATCGAATCCGGAGAATCAAAGTAAATTAACGTATCGCCGTTCCCTCGCGTCTCTGCACGGAAAATCCGAGTCCCGGGGCGAATAATGCGAATTGTCCGGGAATCGAGCCGGGAGTTTTTGCGGACCACTCTTGGATGAGATTCGGAAAACGTGTGACCGAGTTTCTTTACGTCGACGAGGAGATCATAGTAATTCCTCAACCTCAGGTGTTGAATTGATAAAGGGCCCACCATAATTCCTAGACCTTTTAACGTCAGCTGGACGGGATCGCTCGAGATGAACTCATTTCCACGATTCCTCGATTTTTGACACTGCAATTACGTGGGATAGTATTTTCGGGGCAAGTACACTGCAGCGATTTTTTCATTTCTGTCGTTACGTTGACGAGGCTCCGTTGGATATCACCTCTTAATTTATATCGATGAGGTCGTTCGAAACGAGCACATTCCCTCGATTCCTGGATTTTTGGCACTGCATTGACATGTTCTTTTTCCCATGGCGAATAAATCTCCGCGATCCCTCAATTTCTCGCGTCGCATCTCCAAGTGCTCCTTTCAGGGCGAATACTCCACCGCGATTTCTCGATTTTTGGCAGGTGCACGATTCCTGGACGATTCATTATGATTCTTCAACTTCAGGTGTTGCATTGATAAAGGGGCCACTATAACTCCTTGACTTTTGCCGTTACGTTGACGAGTTCGTCCGAGACAAGCTCATTTCCACGATTCTCGGTTTTTGGCACTGCATTGACATGTTCTTTTTTCCATGGCGAATAAATCTCCGCGATCCCTCAATTTATCGCGTCGCATCTCCAAGTGCCCCTTTCAGGGCGAAGACTCCACCGCGATTTCTCGATTTTTGGCGGGTGCACGATTCCTGGACGATTCATTATGATTCTTCAACTTCAGGTGTTGCATTGATAAAGGGGCCACTATAATTCCTTGACTTTTGCCGTTACGTTGACTAGTTCGTCCGAGACGAGCACATTCCTTCGATTCCTGGATTTTTGGTTCGTTCGGGACCAGCTCATTTCCACGATTCTCGATTTTTGGCACTGCATTGACATATTCTTTTTTCCGTCGCGATTCAATCTCCACGATCCCTCAGTTTCTCGTCTCGCGTCGCCAAGTGCTGCGTCCGGGGAGAAGACTCCACCGCGATTTCTCGATTCCTAGCGGTTTCACGATTCCCAGACGTTTCCCTCCGAGACACGGCCCTCGACGGCACCGCGTAATAACCCCTCTGCATTTTAATCTAAGAAAGTGGCGGTGCCCGCGGATACGTCTCCGCGTCGACGTGGTGCGAGGGGGCGCGCCGTTTAAAAATGCAAGGCGAGGCGGAAGAGGCGGATTGCGCGGAGCGTTCCGCCACTCGGGGGATTATTTCGAGTGCAACCCCTAACGACATAATCGAAGGCAGGGTCGCCTTTCCTCCCGGCGAGTTTCCTCTCGTTCCGCGTTTCGTCGCCCCGCCGTAAAAGTCGGTCGAGCCGAAATGGGCCAAACGATCCGATGTTTCAAGCGACGCCGCTTCGATCGGCGCCGAGCAAACAACTGCATATTCCGTTTTAATTCAAAAAAATAACGGCCCGTTTGTTCGGCCCAGCGCGCAATCGGCTCGCTGGGAGAGAGCACTCGCTGCCGTTCTAATTGTTTACCCTGGCGAAAATCGGGAAAAACGCCCCCGGAAATACGGAAATACGTATCGCTTCCACCTTTCGCACGCTTTCCAGGACAGGGGAGATAGAGTTCGAGTTACCGCGGGGGTGGGTTTAAAAATTAAGGGAACGGAAATATCGAGTGGCACCCTCTTCGAGATGCCGACGATTAGTCGACAGGAGACACCTCACGGGATCGTCTGGAGAACCCTCTCGTATCGCCCCGATATCCAGGGAATAAATCGATAATTTTCCGCTTTGCCCGTAGGTTCCTCTCGTTATCTTTGTAGTTTGGACCTGGAGGAACGGGAACTGCGTCATAAAAGAAGCAGGGTCCCAGTAACGGGCCGGGTTCAATTATTTCGGTATTTAGTGCTCCGTAGAAACGAGGCTTTCTTCGCTCGTTCGAGCCGAAGAAAACGGTCCGTTTTTTTCCCCCTTTTCTCTTTCCTCCCCGTCAAAATTTAGCCCGAGAGCTCCCAACGGAAAGTATCTCCGCTGCCCGGCGTCGTAATTTCAGGGAGCTGGTGTCCTATCGCCGGTTCGCTTTACCGACGAGAGCAATTATTTTAACGGTCCTTCCCTGTAAAGCGAGCCCGCGATAAGATTTTCTGGCCACCGTAATAAATGTACGGAACAAACGGCCAAATGTTTGCGGAGGAAATGTGCCGGGGCCATTGGACACTTAGTTACTGCCAACTGCACTTTGCTGACCGGGTTCGGTAACCAGGTCGCATGTAATTCGGCGCACATCCGACTGGCGATAAGGACGATCCTTTTTCCATGTTTTCGCCCGTCGATTCCGTTGGCGTTATCGTGAGGGTATCGCTGAAAACGAAAACGAAAACGAAACATTTTCTGTTTATTTTTTTCCCGGGGAAAACACTCGATTCCGAATTTCCCCCAAACAGACCGAATAGAATCGAAAAGGGTCTCGATGCTCGCTTCGCGATGAAACCTCTACAATGGCGGATACTTCGTCATCAATCCACGACTGGTCGTAGGTCAGCTTTCGAGCGTGGTCCAATTTTACTTGGCCAAAGCTCTGGCGCTTCCGAGCCATCCATGAGCAGACTCGAAATCGCTTGCGCCCACGCAATCAATTATTTTCAGGTCTAATCTGAATTCCTCGAAGTTGTAGGTCAGGATCATGAGGTCATGAACCGCGAATTCATTCTGATTCGTCCACTTTTCCTGAAAATAATTCCTTTCTAATCCGAAATCCAAGGTAAACCTCCATTTCCGCGCGTCTCACCACAGGCCGGTCCGCTGCTTCACCCACCGCGCGTTAAATCGGTGAATACTTCAAAGCCCGGAGGTACAATGGAAATCCACAGGGAGCACGCAGCCCGTTCCCCGTAAACAGCGGAATTCGCGACGCACAGCAGTAAGTAGCCCGGAACGTCCATCACGGCCTTTGGAGGCCGAAAATCTGCGGGTTTACTACCCCGGAGAAAACGAGGCGAGCGCGGTCCCGAATTTAATTTGCGCGCGTTAAATAATTCCACTAGACCGGCCACTTTTGCCAACAATCCCGGCGAGTGGTTCCGCTTCGTCGGGGCCAGGGTGAAAACGTATATGCACGTACTTTTCCCCATGATCGCTCGTTTCCAGAAACGGGGCACATCCCCGCTTTGCTATAACCATCTCCCCCTCGGTTATCCAAATTCCAAGGTCGCCTCCTAGACTCTTGGAGACTCTTCGAGGCCCTTAGACGCGCCTAGTCGCGCACGAGTCGACCCGTTCCACCTCGTGCTCCCTTCAGAGGGAAAAGACTCCGGCGAACAGGTGTGCGGGCACCTGAAGGACCGTCAGCCGGCCAAGGGGAGCGCTTACCTCGGGCGGGCCATGCGAGGAGCGGCAGAGCGAGGCACAGGAGAAGGCGCGCGTGGAGCCGAGTCATCCTCTCGCGGTCGTCGCTGGTCTCGGAGCACTCGATGGGGGCGCGCGGGCGCGAGCACTCAGGCCGGCATGCCGGGCCCGGCGGGAGAGTCGCGGTCGCGAGGGCGAGGAGGCCGCCCGCGCCTCCCGAGGGTCCGCGAAGCACTGGCCGGGCGGTCGGGCCCGGCGGGCGGGCGCGTGGTCGCGGGCCCGGCTCCGGGTGCGTGGGGGGCGCGCGTGCGACGTGCCTTGGCTGGAGGCGGCGCGCGACTGGCGGCGGCGGCGACTCGCTATGGATCCGCGCCTCCCGAAACTGAGCGCCGCTCGCCCTCGCGGCCGCGCACCTGTCGGCCCGCCCTCGTCGCGCATGCGCGCCCCGCGCCGCCCGAAATGAAGATTTCCGAAGAGGGCGCCTGAGTCATCGATAACGTCGGCCTGCCCGGAAGAGGGCACTCGCCGGAAGCGGCCCGCCCGTCGAGAAGACGAGGGACTTCGCGCTCCGCCGCCCCCGGATGCCCCGATCGCCCCTCCCGCGTTATTTCGTTTCGGAGGAACTCCGAAGCCTCTTCGAGACACGACCGCCAACGGTCCCCGAACGACGATAAAAATAAGTTACTCCGAGATGGGGCTTCCTCGGCGTCATCGACATGGATTATCTCGTCCCTGTCGATACCCTTTCGTTATCTCGGGCGTAAATACCCGCGGAAAGAAATCCCGCCTGGATCCAGGAATTACCGGGAAATCGTTTCTTTTCCACGCTTTTTTTACGTATGGTCTCTTTCTTACTTAATTCCCGTCCCTGTACTCATGATAGGTGCACGTCTCTCGCCCGCGGGTTCTCGCTTCTGGGTACTCTCGTAAGGAAGCGTTAAGCGTTGACGAGGAGATCGTATTTTTAACGAAACGTCTGGCTTGCCCTTGTCGTAACTGCTCCGTGGAACTTACTTGACCTAATCCAATCTAACTCGGTGCGGTTCGTCATGATTCGACCGAATTTACGAGGCACGCGTTTCTTTGTCTGAATTCAAGGGTGTCGGCACGTCTTCCCGTCTTGCAGTCGTTAACGGAAGACGGATGACGCGCGGCGACAGAATCCGCTTCCAGCATGGTCGCGTTAAATTAGAATCAAATATTGCCCTCGTAATAAACGCCGGGGTTTAACTCAAATTCGGGGGGAGGGCGTTTTATACGCTTATCGCAATAAACCTTTACGGCGAAACAAGCACGTCTCGACCCAACTATTAGAAGCCGTACTCGAAAGTGTCGTTATACGGTTACCGTAGAGCGCGTACGAAGCCCCGTCGTTTACAAGAAATGCTTCTCGGTCTCTGAAGGGGGATGCCGTACGTGCTCTGTTTGAAATCCCTGGGAAAGGATTTTGATAAAATTAGAAAGATTAACGTCATTGGGGGGATCGATTTTATGTATGGGATGCGATCAACTCCCTCGAGAGTTGGGTAACGGGAGCGAGTTCGGCTCTGACATCGAGGCGTTATTTTTAAATCGATCCTAGGAGGGGATCGTTACATTTCGGATATTAGTATTCTAGGTGGGACATCGAGAAACGATGGAATGGAAGCTCGAAGAAGCAGGGCACGGTGAGTGCGCTAAATCGAGGAACGCAACGCCTCGGTTTCCCTCAGGGTCTTTGAAGTCGCCAAACTGAGCGAGTCAAGAAACAAGCTGCATCGGTGGGCAAATGTCCTTAACTTCAGGCATTCAAACGGAATGTATACCGAGAAACGAACGAAACGTTCGTTTCGGTGGATGATCACAACGAGCAAGGCGGTAAATTTATTCCACAGCCCGATGTAAATAACTTTCTAAAGGGAGATGCAACGAGAGCGATCACGCTGCCGACCTTCGCTCCACTAATAGCACCGATAAACCAGGGAGCCTTGATGAAGTAATAACGTTAAACCGAGTATTATTTCTGCATTGCCCGTACGTGTTCTGCTTTTGCGCTTGCAATTTGGGTTTCGATTCAGGGAACTTCCAGCTCGACGTGAAGGACACATTTGGATGGGGAAAGAACGTCCAAGATTTTTTTTTCTGCAGGTTAGGACCCTGGCACCGCCTCTGAAGTTTTTGTATACGTAGATTGGGGGTTGTATTTAGAAATATATTTTTTTTTTAAGTCCATTGCATCGGTATCTCGTTGTTGAAAAAAATTGAAAACTTTGAGGACACATGGTCGAGGCGGATATCCACTTGTTATCAAAAGTCACGACGCAATTGCGGTTCTTGTCTTCGAGAAGGCGCGAGGTTCGTCGAAAAGTCGAAGGGTCGAAGTCGTCTCGAGAGAGAACCTCCGCCTCGACGTAACAAGGTTTTTTACGAGTCCCTCGCTCGGCCGATTAAACCTTCGATTTATGTCCGCCTTGAAATACAAGATCCAAAAGTCGCGCGATCGGAAGCTCGATGAGAGCTTTCAATTTAAGGAACTCTCAGAAATCGGAAATTGAGCCTCGCGACGGAACGTCGGCCGATGTAAAATCGATGATCGCGCGAGACGCCCGATCCTTGGCCCGCAATACATAATTTTACATATATATTGGAATTTTCAGATTTAATATGCCAGGTACGACTGACGCGGACCGATTTCGGAGGTAGGTAAGGCCATGGTAAAACGTAAGCCCGACGGCGTCTTTCTCGATGCGTCTCTTCCGCACCTCCTGGCCGCCCGACGAGGAGCTCCCGGAATAATTGGACACCGTGTTCGGAATTAATTTTATACCAGCCTCAACAACGTCATCTTCTCTATTCTCTGCCCAGCTAGACCCGTGTTAGACGTTAATTTTGAGACGTTCATTAGTCTCGTCCAAACTATCACGGCCCGGAAGAGAGACGGGAAGCGATGGCGCGCAACCACGAAGAACTCTGGTGTGAACCCACCTTCGGCTATATTATATCAGGATCCTGCATTAAATAGTTTCGAGATAAACACCCTCTCGTCACTGTTCCACGAGTATCGTCACGGCACTCGACGTCGGATATTTTCGTCGGCCAGACGGCAAAGATCGATCCTTTATATCGGCAAGAATCTCGAATTCGAAGCTAGGCCGTTCCCTGCCCATACGTCGAATACCTCGGCCCGAAAGCAATAACGAGGAAAATTGAATCATCCACTTGTGGAGGTCCTATCGCGCAACCAGTGGACAATAAATTAGAACGCTCAGGAGCAATTCGTCGACAAATAATTTCCCGAGAGAGGGGTGGGTGGAAAAAGTAAGTAGCACGAATGAAATAGTACGATGTTGACCATTTCACTCGAGAAAACAGGATAATTAATTATCTATGCTGGGTACATCAGGGACGGTCTCGGTAAAGTGGAGTTCTCTTTCAACGAGCTTTCGCTAAAAGTCATGGCGATGCCTTCGGGCGCGTGCCTTTTATGTCGCGGAAAATTCCTCGCAAGATTCATTGCGTAATTAATACCATTTTCACCGCTTAATTAACGCGAGTGACTTCCAACGCCTCCCTAACCTGGAGTGAAAATGACATCTCGAGTGAAGTCGCTGTACGCGAATGACACTTGAGCTCGTTAGCTAGATATTCGAATAACGCGTTTCGCGAACTTCTTGTGCAAAGTGGGCGCAACAAAAACGCCGAGCGGGATTTCCAACAATGTCTGTCGACACTTTCGGTGTCCCGTGAACGTAAAGTCAACTCTGAACTCGAAGCTGCGAGTATTTCGATGGCTACACTCGGGGCATCCTTTTTTCGCATTTACGCGGCGCACAGTTTGCAGCCATTTTGCCCCGTAAAGCACATACGCGAGGCACAAAGTGGACAAAGCTGCGGAACCCTTTGCCGTTTAAGAGCAACCTGCTGAAAGTAACTGAAATGGTGTAAAGACGTTTAAACCGTTTTGCGTGACGTTTTTTCCCCGCCGGCAAGAGGACAGGTAGCGAAACAAGAAAATGCATGTATTATGAACGCGTTTAAAAAAGGACTTCCAAGGGAAACGTAACTCCCGAAAGCGTCGACGGCGCCACTTTTTTATCTCGCGAACTCCCGCTACGACTTCGTCTGCCACGGAAGGAAAGACAGCGAACGGAGAAATCTATGTGCCGCGGAGATTTATGTAACGTAAGACGGTTTACATGCGTGAAAAATACAGGCAATACGGAGATCTACGAATTCGTGTGCGACTCTGGGAAAAAAAGAAGAATGGAGGAATACCGCGTCAAATGGCGCAGCCACTTTAAGCGATGGACCTTCCAGTTCGACAGGGTAATAATTTTTCCCGGACACTTACAATTTTTAAGTGTCTAAGGTTATGACCCATCGCTCCAAATTAAGTACTGTTTAATGATAAAAAAGTGAAAGTAGGGAAAAAATGCTTGGAATAATAATTAGTCCCCATCGTTCGGATCAGGTTTGCTCGATCCGCACGTATCGTCGGTGAGAAAAGCGACATTTGCGACGGATCCGCCCAAATGTATCTATCGTAGGATGTTTTTACAATTAGCGGCATGTTCCCTGCATAATTTAATGGAAATTCCTGACACGCGGTGCAATCCCAGGCATCTTACAAAGAGATTACAGTGCTCGGCGCGTCGCCGGCTATAACTCTTGCATGCGCCACCGATCATCCATAATCTCCGGTCGTCGTTCAACGTTAAGGCCGTAGCGTGCCGAAAATATGTTAGGTTGTTTTTTGTAAGTCGCCCCACGAAATACATAAGATCTCGCCGATATCCTCGTCTTATCCAGGCCCTAAGGAGGAATCTTAAGGAGGAATTCCCTCATTTGGAGGTGCGCGCCTCTCGAGTCCGCGACATCGATCGAGAGCTCTAAGTCGAAGATTCGTCCCTCGATAAAAAGGTCGATTTAAACGAATTCACCGTCCGGGGCCAAAATCCTCGATTAATCTCGCTTCCCCTTCAAACCGAGGCTCACCTTCGCCGGTAGGATTTAGAGGCGCGATTTAGCGTTTAATATTAAGGAAGGATAAACGGGACTGTAAACTCGGAGGACATCTTGGCGTCGGACAGTTTCATTAAGCTCTCTCCGCGCAAATGGGAAAGGATGGACGGACCACCTTGTTAACCGCTTGATTCAACAGGGACAAAAGCCCAATTCCGTCGATATATCGCGTACCGGGTGACAAGGATTGGTCGACCCCTCATTGTCCGG